TGTTAATTTAGCTTTATCTTCATCTAATACAGTCCTTTGATCATTAGCTTTGTCGAGGTACATATATTTACAAATGTATTTTAAAGATCGATCAGAACTGAAAGTAAGAAAGAAAGAAAGAGAAAACATTTATTCAGAACCATGCACGATGAAGAACAAATAATAAAAATTATATAAAAAAGACATTAAAAGATAATAATTATATTTGCTTATTTCTGTAATTAAGTCACTTTAATGTTAGGCTAAAGTTAGCTGAATATCGTTTATTATGGTATAGGTAGTCACCATCCACCAGCTGTCTGTGTATCTACGAATAATAACATAATATTATATAAAATCACGCTTTTCTGTCCCCGAAGGATCTCCGTTTGAGTTCGGATTGAAATAAAACCAAATTGCATTAATGCAGCCAACTGCATTAATGTAAAATAAAACCAAAATTTAACTTCACAATATTTATTTAAGTACATAACTAATGAGTATAATGTTTGCATAAACTACATTCTTAAAAAATACAATGAGATGACATTAACTTTAGTGAGTCAATAATACAAATAAGTAGGACTATGAAGACAGTTAATCAAAAAGTGCTGCAATCCTTACTAATATTATAAATCAGAAAGTGAGTTAGTTTGTTTGTTTGTTTGTTCCGCTTTCACGTCGTAACTACTAATCCGATTGCTTTGAATTTTTGCAAACATAAAGTTAGAAGTCCGGATTAAATAATAGGGTACTTTTTATCCCAGAAAAATTTGATGTTCCCGAGGGAAAACAAAAGTATTGGTATATGTCACATAGGCTACTTTTTATCCTTTTGTGACGCGAGCGAAGCCGCGGGTAAAAGCTAGTATTAAATAAATGGCTATGGCTGTAATCACCACTGTTGGGTACTACACCCAAAACCAAGTCAAATGGGGGAAGTGTATACTTGTAAAGATTGTAGATGTTTTGTTGTATCGAATCTGTTAACTTAGGTATATTTTACAGTTACTTTCAACCCTAGCTTGACAAACATTTAGTTATTGGTTTTAAAACTGTTTGAAAGTGTGTATGGGACTTGCATTACTTTTGTTCTGAAGTACACTATACATCGTATTTATTATATTAATGATTTTGAAAACAAATAAGTACCTACATGATTCAGGAATTTTGGGAGTTTTATTAACGTACCTACATCGTAACCTTACGTCACGCATAAATTAGTTCCGTGGGGTAACCATGATGCATAATATGCAATCAGCATTAAATTTATTTTTTTCAGTTTGTAATAAGTACCTACTTATGGTGCTTCAGAACGGTTATTCTTAAATAGTTTAGTATACAGTAGACGTGCAAGTTAAAACATTACCACGATGACAAGATACCACAATGAATCTAATTAACACATTTGACATATAGATAATAGATATGTTTCCTACTCATCTAGACATAGTTGATCTTGATGAAGATACGATAAAGTTCTACAAACACTAACTAGAAATAGAACTTACACTTATATAGACCAAATAACATCATAGATTATACATTCATATCTTATCATACTTTAAAAAATATGAGGAACTGTGTGAACTTGATGCTTTATGGCGATGCTAAGAATATTTTTTTGACATTACATTTTTTTTAATACTTTAACTGCCAAGTTTAAAATGGTGAAAGTCAAACCTCCACTAGCGTCAGGCACCGGTGACTGACGTGGCGCTCTAAGGGTTAATAACTTTTCCGAGTATTACTTAGAAGGTTTTTTAACATCGATTTAAGTGCATAGTTTTGAATTTTTCAATTATGAAAGTAGTTGAAATTGTTCTACTAATAACGTATGTGCAGGTGTTCATATATTCTATGGAAGAAATGCATCACAAATTTCCAATACAAAATATATAGGAGCAAAACCGCTCTTCTATATGCATTAGTTTAAATTTAAATCAATATAAAACAATTTATATATTTATAAATATTATAATATATTATTGATCTCTTCTAATTAACTGCTTCGAATGTTTGTAGTGTATCTAAGAATATCAAAATCTACAACCAGTACCTTTGTTCCTGTATGCGCACATTTGTCTATATAATAATATTGGTGTTTATATATGAAATTATGGAACTACGTATATTGCTTATAACTTGCGTGAGGTGAATGTTTTCTTAAGATAACTAAATCTAACTACAAATTCTAGCTTTCTATTATACCTAACGTTTTTAATATTTTATTATAAATATCTAGTTCAATTAGTTCATCTACTTCTTGTATAAAAGTCAATGCGCTTTTGATTTTTTTTATTTATTGTTGGTAATAAAGTATTTAATAACGTAAGGTTTTGTAGAAGTCATAATTAGAATTCGTATTGTAAATTAACACACGTATGTTCTTTCATTATTGTGGCTAAAAGCCGTGTCTTACCGTGGCACTCACAATTTCTCTTTTTAGGGAACATCCTCCCTATTAAAACCATCTGGAACCTCTCCCCCAGGTTGAAAATAGAGATACTGTGTACAAAGTCTGCCCCGATGCTTGGCATCTTTTCTGGTTTACTGGCTTATTCTGATTTGCTCATTATCCCGGTTAGACTATGACTGCCACAGACCCTTTGTTGGGTCTAGCATCAGGTGCCTGTGCTCCCCCTGGAGCGGGAGAAGCTAGTGGACGTGATTAGCGCAATTATGTTCAGCATCATGGACATCATATGGTCATCTGTATAAACGAGCTGAACATCTACCAGTTATCCCCCTCTAACGTGACGACACTCCACTCTCTTTGCTGAGCAACAGGGGGCTCTGCGCTAGGATGGTAAGGGTGAGGCGTGCCGCAACTGTATGATTGATTAAATGATACCGATAACATAATAGTGAAACGATAAACATAATGTTACTAGTTTTTCTTAATGATGCCGTTGTTTCAAAATTGATATTGCCGACTCCACTAGTGTCTATGTTCTTTCTATAATCCTATAAAGTATTTCGCAATTCCTTGGTTTCTTGATAAATGATCTCATAGCATTTCAGTGCGTGTATAGCATAGGGTTTCTTAACATGTAATTATTTGTAACTGCTTTAAACAAATATATATACATATATATTAAACATATATAGTAAAAAAAATTAAGTTACAACGTAAATGTTTAATAGAGATGTAGACGGCATAAAAACAAATTATTTGTTACTTAAAAAAAATAAGATTTACTTATAATAATTGAATCTGCTTCTAGGTTTTTTTTAAGGGGGGGCAATCATCGAATGACTGCTCCCGCCTGGGTGAGGCGGAAGGGAGTGTCAGACTCTTACTGACTAAAAACCACCCCGTTCCTTCTCCTGCACGTCGAGCCGCTGCCCCGGTTACCCGTTAGGTTCTCCGCGACATCTGCTTCTAGGTTAAACTATCAAGTTACGATGCATGGTGCTTTATTGCTACTTTCACCATCTTCGTGCTATGTTTCCTGGTCGTTAGTACTCGACTAGCTTCAGGTCACGACTTAGGATTTGAATAGTCGCAGGGATGTGCCGTAAAGGAATTGCATAGTGGGGTCTACGGAGCAGGACAATTAGAAGACCCAGTGCCCCTTATAGGTACACTAGGGTGAGGTAAAACTCTGACACTCCTTTCTCCCCAAAATGCTAGGCAACTTAAAAAGACTTCTCCTGTCATAATAAATGCGCTTTTAATGATGATTAGCAACTAAATCCTTAATTTCTATTTTTACCTATGAATGATAAATAATTAGCTACTATTTCAATTTATTTTACTACTAACTTTGACAATATTTTCAGGGTATTTTGAAATTATTAATTAACAAATATATTGTGCATCACACTGTCTACGCCCCTATTGCTTTGTTTATTAGTCTAGGTTCAAACTACAACACACCTATGTTTTCCTATATGCAGTTTAATACAAAAATAATGACAACAATTAGTTTACTTAACAACTTTTAAATGATTGATACTATTTTAAAATATAACTATAATTGTATAAATATATATATTGATATCTTGCTGTTTGTATCAAATATAAAATGTATTATATGACTTGTATGTCTTCATTATTTGAGGCTTCTCTAACTAGCACTTCTCTCGATTTTTGTTCTCTATTTGTTTGGCTTTGTTTTTCTTACTTTACCTATAATATAACAACACTACATCTTAAGACTAACCTTTGTTAAGATAAACGCAACAAAATTTGTACTTTAATGTTCAAAGAAAGTATGCATACACAACAAGCCCTTCTTGAATCGAGTGTTTTATATATCATAAATTATGTTCTTGATAATCCAATCACTACACCAATGACTGACTAACTACCGCACTCAGAGTTTAATGATTACTTCCAAAAACCGTCGCTAAGGATTAGGTTAAGTCACCATTAAATGCCTTTGAATACGTCACCATCTCTCATTCGGTATATTTCTACGTTGTGTGTATGTAACACGCAGGCTACTTGATGTTTCTCAATTCCTATCTTTTTAAACATGCTTTTACTATTTAAAGGACATCTTAATGATAGTTTGGCATTTCATCTCTGAAAAAGTGAGACGTTGGTACGTCTCATTGTATATTTTAATATTACATGTCACACATAGAGTTCGTCAGACATTATATGAGAGTCCGACTACGGGAAGCGAATTGTTAAAAAATATAAAAAATAATAATTAAAAAACCCCAGATCACAAATTACTATAGATACTCCTAAGCTTACGCTGATGGAGGAGTTTGAAGTGGGGCACAGTTAAAGTTTATGCGGGAAAGGAGTGCAACAACCATACATTTTTGTAAGCAGAATGAGAAATACCTTAAAAAATATGACGTACACTACCAAAAGTTTGACTTAGATGACGCATGTATCTGTCATTTGTCACAAAGTCAAAAAACTGAAATGATGTGAACGTTACGCGCTGAGAACTCATAGCAATTGAAAAATGACGTTAAAGTTGATAGAGATCTACTCCATTGTTGGGTATTTTTGTAGTAGAAGACTGACGCACGTTGGCGCCGGTCTTCTCCGCGGATCAGACGTGTGTAAAGCTGGCATGAACAGCATCCTCCTGGGAAATCTGGGTGCCAGAAGTAAAGTACTGAAACATAGAAAAAAAGGCGTATTAGTGTTTGGAAAATAGATCTGAGGCCCTAGTCTGCTATTTTAACAAATTTCCATTGTAATAACAGACCAAGTCCTCTGATATTCAAGTTCTTTTTGTGGAACATGAAAGTTTTAGAGGTTGCTATTTAATTAGCATTTAGGATTTATTTTGGGTTTTTTGATCGAACTGTCTCCGCAACACAATTTTGATTTTCTTTAGTCACTTCAAATAGCAAAAATATTTATTACAAAGATTCTCTCGTTCAATACTTATTAGATATAGAACTATCTTAAGAAATATACTTGCGCTCTCTGTTCCCTCATTCTAATAACCGCATTGCACAGCAGTTCGACATGATGAAAGAGAGGTTAGGCACACAGAACCAACAGCATTATGTGTTTTCCAAGGCAAAAGGTAAGGGAGAACTTTGTGCATTAGTATCTATATAGGTATATACCTATAAGTTTAAATTTAATATAATTAGGTAATAAGTATATACTTAAATATTTTATAAGTCTGATGGTTATCGAATTGGATTACGTGTGGTAAAGGTAGTTGTTTGTGCAATAAATAAATAAAATAAAAGAGGGCTTATTATTGCCAAATTTCAAAAATTTTCCCTTAGTCCGCAAGAGACAGATATGCTAAGTTTTTGCTCCCTGTACGTTGTCTGTCAGTCAGTCACTCAGTATCGAAAGAGTTTTATGCAAATTGTTATGTTGCTGATTCCGAACAAAACCCTAATAAATTATATACCTATCTAGACTTTTCTCAAGAATCACTCTTTCTATTGTGTATTGCAAGCGTTCGTTCCACGGTAACCACTTACCATCAGGTATGTTATTGTGTTTTTCTTACCACTGTCGTAGTATAAAAAAATTGTGGAAAATCATATACCTAATAATTTGTATTGGCGGTCCGGAGGTTTAAGACGCCCGCTTCTCATACATGAGAGTGCGGAATCGAAACCAACCAACGGCAAGTACCAATGTGTCATTTTCCGAATTATATGTACTTTCTTAGATTATTTGGGCATCACTAACAAACGGTGCAGGAAAACATAGTGAGATAACCTGAGCTTATAGTTTCTAATGGGGATGATGACAGGGTATGAAAATTAAAAATATAATTAGTCCGTAAGTTAGGTAATGAAAAAATATTAGACACGTATTTTTTTATTTTGTCGTATAATAAAACAATACTTAGATAAAACGAATCAAAGTTTAGGAGTGGGGGCTAAAACGTCATTCCTTAGTATAAAATGTACTGAGAAGTGACGTCACGCGACATTTCAAATCAATAAATCTTCGAAACTATTCGTTTCTGTGAGAAAATAAAAAATACGTGTCTAATGTTTTTAAATAATCTATCAGACGGACATTAAAATAAAAATTAGTCGTCTACCCCATTATAAGTTTAAAATCGCCAACCCGCAGTGAGCAAGCGTGGTGATTAATGCTCAAACCTTCTCCGTTTGAGAAGACGCTTTGCTCAGCAGTGGGCATTTATAGGCTGTTTATGTGTGATATAATAATTCATTTCTTACTTTTCGAGTAATAATTTGTTTTGTAACACTTCTATCTTTCAGACATACAGAAAGACGTGGCGGGGAAATCGTTTTATAACCGATACTACCTAATCTATATTTTTTTACCGAAAATTAACGAAGTATTATTATGTTCCAAACACGCTGTACATATTATTTTGCTTACGGCACGTGATTTGCTATTTCGGTAACAAAATTGTTAATCTTATACTGTCGCCATGTTTATTTACTTGGTAATAAACCGTAGGATCGTATATGTAGTCGCCCGATGCCCGAAAGTTGACTGAATTTTATTTTTATAGTAGTAAAGGTTGTCAATATTCCCTAATGAATTACGTGATTCGACTGTCGTAGCCTATCTCTTCACGGCACGGAAATACAGCTTTATAATCTATAAAGCTGTATTTCTAATCTGTTGCTATGTTTTAAATACTTGATCTGTTTATTTGTGGTTGTTGAATTAAGTAAACTCAGGATTATTAGGACAATAGAAGGTTTATTACTCGTTTTTACTGCATTTATAGTAAGTAATAAAATGTCTGGTTGTCACTACAATTACAAGGAAAGACGCAAACTATTTAGACTTGTTAATGCAGATGCGAATATGTGCTTCGGTGGAAGCGAAATGGAGTCGTGCGAGCGGGGCTAAGCTGTGAAAAGAGGTGGGTATGTGTTTCCACTGAAGCGGAGTTGCTTTGCTTATTCGCATCACCTAGTGCCTAGTGCGTGAATTTGCCTTTCTGCATCGCTCCCCTCTCGGCGCTAGTCTAATTTAGCCTATTTTCCCGATTTCTTTGAAGCGGAGTGGAGAAGAGATGTGGGTTTCAAGCCATGTGATTGGTAAGTAGCGGCACAGCTCTCTCCTCTCTGCTTCAGTGGAACCTCACCTTACGATTACAGTGTGTATGTGAAATTAGGCAGAGTTACAACGCGGCGTATAAAGTTAAACTTTGGCTTTACGTGAAACATTTTTGACAGTATAAGTTTTAAGTCAACTATAAGTCTTTTTACATGAACATGTTTTGGGGAATTCATAATTTACTTCAATTATAGACATATTTAGGGCAATTGGTGCTCCAAAGGACTAGTGGAAAATGTGACGGTTACAAATATTGACTTACGTTGATGATATTGTTTAATACATCTTGCGATGAATATTTCCCAACATTTCTCTTCCTAGTAGAAAGTCATTGTACTGAATATAAAAATAAATAATAAATTAATATTTTAAAACTAAAAGTAAAAATTATCCCAGTCCTCAAAAACTTGCCTTGATTTACTTCTATTATGAGTTTTACAAATAAGTTTAATTTCATAGAAGAAGCGCTTTAATAGAATATTTTCCTCTATAAAACTAATGATGTTAACATTTATTTTTATTCTTGCAATTCTGTGGCTCGCATTATAAGAATTTTATTAAATACTAACCCCAGCGAATGCCGCTCCGTTCCAACCGAGGCGCTCGTGATCGCTTTGTGTGCGTAGTGGCGGCGTCTTGCGTTCCGTGCGGGAAGCGAGACGAGCTTTGGCCCGCAGGGCGGCCCGTAGCGGAACGTTGGCTCGTGCAGCCTCTGCGCGACCGTGCTGACAAAACTCTACCAATGCAACTCCCAGCGCCAATGCCAATCCTCCCACAAGCACGTAGAATATCCCCGCCACTTGGCTTAGTGTCATTTCCGTTATGGATGTCTCCTTGAACATAATTAACCCATAAATTGGTTACAATTGTTTTATAATGTATATTAGTATAAAAAGTATTATATTGACGTTGCGAGAAACACTCATAAAGTAAGATATAAGGTGGAAATGAAATAAAAGGATGCTAAAACACAGCACAATAAGCAACTGCTTATCAAAACTGACCTCATCTTTGATTACATCACAATCCGGCTTCTTGTTATAGTTAGCCCATTTGCGCCACAGTTTAGATATAACGTCGTCTTTTTTCAAACTGACTATTGCCAAGTTAATAGCTTCCCTGAAAAATTTAACAAACTTTTGAATAATTATGGCTTGATCGTGGATCGCTGGCGCGTACACGATTTGGTGAGTATTTGTTTCGTGCCCGGCGGATTCCGCTTCCGCGATGCGCCGTGACTCAGGACGGAGCCTAATTATTTATTAAAAATTTAATTCATATTGATGACGTCAATAGCATCTTTATTATAATTATGGTTGAACGAAGTTTTTCAGGTTATTTTCGGTTTTCGGATTATATTTCCCAGAAAGAATACAATTTACTTGTTCTAAGAAATACAAGAAATATCAAATTTCATGCAGCAAATGTAGGTACCAGTAAATAAACATAAACAAATAATTCATTAGTTCGGTATTTCAGTAGTATTTCAATATTTGTGGAATGAATATAACAATAAGCTGGTTTCAAAGCCACAATCAATAATAATTGGTTTACATTCAACATTATTCTGATTGTTGTTCAAATAATTTCGATTTATCATTTGTATTTTGTTATTTTTAACTTTCTGAAATGTAATTACTTGGTATTTTTGTAAATTAATTTGTTTAGGTTTAATAGTGGCACGGGGCACGGCATAATTGTGCTAGTAGTATATACTAAGAACAGAACATCATAACATCACGCCTTTTGTCCCCGAAGGGGTAGGCAGAGATGTACATTACGGCATTTAATGCCACTGTACAATGTAACACCCAGTTTTCACTATTTATGTTTTGTGTCCCATGTAATAGGGGGTGAGCCTACCGCCATTTACCGGGCACAATTCCAGACTCCGTGCTACTACTGAGATTTTTTGAAAAAACCCAGTATTACTTTGCCCGACCCGAATCGAACCCGAAACCCCTTGCCCGGCAGTCGCACTTGCGACCACTCGGCCAACGAGGCAGTCATATACTAAGAAGTAAATAAAAATATAAATGTTTTGAATTACAGTAGGAGTTTGATACAAATTATTGAAGATCGCCTGTTATGCAATGCAAGGGATTGCTTGTGCTAGTAGACTCCATACATCCACACGTATGTTTTAAGAACTAATTCTTCTATTTTATAGATAGCCAGATAGGTACGTGTTACCGAACAAATCGGTTGGTTCGATTTACAAATTGCCTTCGTTCAATAAACTCGGTCGGTATCTACTGAATAGGGGCGCGCTATAAAACCGGCGTATCATATAAAATGTAAATTTTAACTTGTTGTCAAAAATCACGTCCGCCAAATCGTGTACCATAAAAATGGGTAGTATAAATTCGAAAAGCGGAGTGCACCGCCTTCCCCACTGACGGGGTACCATGTAAATTTACGACTTTTCAGTATTCCGTCGGGAATTACCTTATAGAGCCGAGATTTCAGATAGATAGTAGGAACTCTTGTCTATACGGAAATTTACACAGAGTTTGTGCTCATCCCTGCCGTACGTATCATAGTTTCGTTTGTAAACAGTATTGTTTATTTTTATAAGTCCATTTTAAATTGACATTTTCAAATTAACTTTGATATTTTAATCAGGAAAATTAAAATGCTAAAGTTATAAGAAAAATACACAACAAACAATCGGATATGTGTGAAAACCGAAATCGTTGTCTATAGCGTTTTCCTTACTTAGGCCACAAGTCCACTAGTTATAACGTTTAGGTACCTAGTGGGCGGCATTATTTTTATTCGGCTTTAGTATTTCTCCTCTATGCTACAGTTACATTAAAATGTATATTTGTCACTTTCGATTTCAAAATCATCTAGAGATAACCTGGTGTATTCTTAACCCGAAACGATGCTTGATTGGATAAAAATAACACAAACTCGCAAGCTATGTCAATTCTTATCGAACGCCGAGAAAATAAAACAAATTTTATGTAATAATCGCGGTCGCTGTTCTACTGAATACTTATCATATCTGTGTCTAAACTAAAAAGAAAATTGCACATAAAATTTGTTACCTGAGAGGGGATCCCTTTGCCGTGGCGATTGCGAAATTAACGTGCTTATATCGACAAACACGCGATGGACCACACACTTCTCCATCATCAGAATAAGCTGGTATAGTCTCTTCATTTAAAACAGGATCCCTCACGAAATTGCTCCGTAAATTCAAATTACTGACCTGAAATCAATGTTCGGTAAGGAATTAGATATTTAGAGTACCTAACAGAATTGTTTAACATAGTTTAGAACTTAGAGTCTACGTAATATACAACACAAATAATAATAATATTCTCGTTGGCATCGGCAATATGAATATGATGTTGTTTAATTTGTGACATAGTTTAGTATTTGCATTTTAATTGCATTAAGAGTAATTAAAACAACGGAAAATTAAATAAATATATCTTATTTTATCGTAAAGGTACACACGTAACACGCACGGCACCAGCACAGCTCTACCACGGCTCCAGCACCGCGTTTTTTGCTTTAGAAACAATACGAAAAGGTTGTAAGCGTGTCGTCAGGGCGCGGGTAGCGTGCTTACAGCTTTTTTATAATGACGTTATGAAATACATCATAGGACATACGCTTAAAACTTCATATTTAAATAACAATGACATTGCTAGGTTGGAGCCGTACTTGTTTTGCTTGTAAGTGCTTGCCGCTTTGACAATACAATAAGATTCCAATTAGGATCCTGTAATATTTTCACAAATCCACATAATAATATGCGTCTAATTCTAAACAAATACAATTATAAATATAACGGAATCTGTACCGTTGCATACTGAACTGTGATATAATTTTAATTAGATTTGTAGCTTATGTTTTACTATAAGAAATTGACAGTTTTCACTCAACAGAACTAATACAATATTGTTGCAAATGTACTTAAATAAAGTGATGCTTAGTTTATACTATCGTGTTGAATTTTTATTAATTTATGAATGTGTAAAGTATAAAATTTTACGATATTTTCATCTTGAGGACACATACCCTTTATATGAAGCTTGATTATACCTTTTTTATGTAAACACATGTAGTAAGAAGTGCTTACAGTAACATTTTCCCCGAAATTTCTGCTTTTAGAAATATCTAGTTCTTTAGAATTTATTATTAAACCTTGTTTTCATAAAAATAATGCTCACTGGCTCTTGGGAATGTTAGAAAGCATTATACTTCTAAATCTCTTTCAAAGAACTAATCTGTGTTTAAATGGCGTTGTTTGTAATAAAAACAATTAATAAAAAAGTTATTATGTTGACTGTTAACTTATTTCACTCCCCAGAATTCTTCTTGATATGGAAATATTTATATTAATATTATATACCTAATTTAACGTACATGTTACCTAAAAATCATACATATATGCATATTTGCAATTAAAATGAGTTTAATAAGCAATTTATTTCGTACTAAAATAAAGCTTATAACACGTTGAACGTTGTTCTCTCCATATAACGTATAAAGAAGGTTTATTTGTTCTGTGGTTCTCTCAATGCGCCCACAATCGTTAACGCGTATGTATTATATTTTATAATCTTCAATAACTTATTTTCCAAATAGAATTTCATGGGAGCTGGCTACGAGTAGTTTGTTATAAATACTCTTCACATACTCCTTCAGGCGTGATGAAAACATGTTATAACTGTGGCTATGTGGTGAATACTTAAAAAAATATAATTAGAGCTTCTTTACCATGCAGCATGCGGTAAAGCAGCATATGAAACGATGTTCAATTCGCTTCGGCAAGTGAAGTGCCTTACAAATTTCTATTTGTTACCTGTATCATGTAAAATTGCATGTGGTTCTTACTTCGGTATGAGCTAAGTTTGGTGCATAGTTGATGGTTGAATGCGCCGGTTCCGCAATACGTTCCACAATGAGATACGCTGCTAGGTTTGCCGTGTACGAGCAAACTAGGATGAGAGCAAAAAACCACCACACTGTTCCAACAATTCTTCCCGATAAAGACCTGAGGAAATGTTAATTTGTTTTAGAAAACTGTATCTATGAATAAGAACCATTAACAAACAAGACTTAAAGTCTACTGTCCACGTTGCGTCATTTCGTCAAAAAGATAAATATTAAAATATCACACTAATATTATAAATATGAAATTTTCTTTGTTTGGATGTTTGTCCGTCAATCATGCTGAACTGAACAGATTTTTATGAATTTTATGCAGTCTGTACTGAACTGTCTTGGATGGTATACAGTCAGGGTATGGGGCTGATTTAGGTGGTAGGAGGATTTTTATCCCAATTAAAATGCTCCCATGAGACGTGACGCGTGACGAGAGTAAGGAATAATAGGGTAGTTTTCTAAATTTTATTTTGATGTCCGTCTGGTACATGAATTTATTCTTTTCTCACAAAATTAAATATTTTCGACGATATCTAATTTGAAATATTGTGAGACGTCACAGCGTGACATATTTTGTAGCACTTTATGACGTAACAACCTCCTATTCCTAATCTTAGCGCAATTTTGTCTAAGTATTGCAACTTAATACGGGAAAATAAAAAAAATACGTGTCTAATATTTTTTCGGTATCTAACTGACGGACTAATTTGATTTTTAATGGAAACTCCCAATTTTGTAAGTTTCTTACATTATATGTATAATAAGTGGTAATCTGTTTGTGATTCTATGTAACTATAATTATTGTGGAATTGCTAAGACACAAAGTCTTGTTTAATTAAAAAAAAGGAATAAGAAATTGACTGAGGTGTACTATAAAATAGACGACAGTATTGGCCTGGCCATATTGATTGTGACTACTATAATTACAAATTCCTTCATAAATTTAATCGGCTAGATCTTGTAGAGATATAATTACATATCATATTAGAAGTACATTTACTGATGAATACATATACGTTGATGATTGCCATTAGATATATCATATATATACATGAACTAGGATAAATAATTTAACCTACAGGAACTTAAATTTTGTTGTTACGACTACAGTTTCTTTATTTAATCTAGTAGCTAGCTCGGCAGAATCTAGTAGAGAAGGCGAGTCTTTGCTATGCGCTCCCTTGATTACGCTCATGCTACATTATCATAACACGGATCGCAACTGAAATCTTAATAAAAAACCTTTTTTAAAAAATATCCTAAATTTACTAATTTTTTAAATCCAAAAGTCTGTGTTTATGTTTGTTACGTCAAAATAACTGAAGGGGTCGGGATGAAATTTGGGATAGTACTTTTTATCCTATAGACACGCGGGCGACATCGCTGGCAGATGCTAGTAATATTGTCCGAATAATTGCCGTTTTTGTGCAATGTGTCTTCACCACACCAAAAAAATAATCGAACCCACAACAGTTTGCCTAGCCAAGCAAACTGCTTTCAGCAAGAAACCCTCAGTTTTGTACTAACTAGGTAGTTAAACACTGCCGTAAACATTATACGATTTTGATAAACATTTTAAAACTAAAGACGAAATATAATCTTTAACCCGTCCTTCTTTTATCAATCCTTTTCGTTTTCTTGTGAACAGTACGACCTTATAGCCACAGTACGCGCAATTTACATGCGACTTGGAATTTAATCTAGAATTCCATAGCAAAGTCCTCTTTATATTGACCGCATTACTTAAAATGCCTGAGTATTGTTAAACAGAACCGTTGTGTATTATATAGGTATTCTTTTGTTAGATTTTCTCGAATCGAATATGTACATTAGGATTTTATAACGTACCTCGGCACCACGTCACTGCCTTGCTGCATAAAGGATCCGAGCGAAAACCAGAACGAATTCCAAATGCTGAATTCGTTGTGCAAAATAATCTAAAAGAAAATCAAATTAGTTTAGTATGTGCATTCGCTGTATTGAATTCAGTTAGTGACACTATATGGTAGTCTTACCTCACTTGTGCTACTCATGGCATGGTCCAGTTGCGTATCTGATATCGAGACAGATTTCCATTCATGGGGAGAGAATCTTGACACTAAGAACAGTACTATGCTGACAGCAAAGAAACTGAACAATACACAAAGCTGTAAACAAAAGTAATTACTGCAATACACACCATTACTGTGTGAGATTGAAAATAATAGATATAACGTTCACCAGCATTAAGAGTTGGTCCCATAATGTTTACAAATGTTTGTAGTTAGTAAGTCTCATGAGTTCACGTACGAAATTCTAAGCTAAGCTAGTTTATACGTATTATTATATGAACTGCAGTCGAATTTATTTTAAGAGATAACTTAATATAAAGAAAGAAAGAAATTCTTGATATCGTACGCCATGGAATTATTGAAAAGTCAAATTTTCGTTCATCATCATCAGCTGGAAGACGTCCACTGCTGAACAAAAGCCTCCCTCTTAGTCCTCCACGTCGAATTTTACGTATGCATCAACAAATCGGTTTATGTATGTTTTTATGCAATTTTTATGTACGTTCTAAAGCGTTACTACACAAATCAACATTATCCTTGATGATCATAAAAGTTGGATGGCACTTACTATTCGAACTGCAGAGAGGCATGTACTCAAAGTATTTGTATTCTCTGAGGCATTCTGTTTCTACTTTATTTCAATGTTTTTTTAAACCACGATATTCCACTCTAGAAATTTCTCCTTTGTCATGGGCGCGTTCACAAACACACACATGATACCTAGGCCCAGAACAACAAATTGTGAATCACACAAAGAACTATTCCGTAGGGAATTGAACCCGCTACACGTCGCGCGATATCCGGTTGCCCATGCAACCACCGCACAAACTGTGCTATCGATTGTTTAATTACTTAATCTTATTACTTGTAGATTGTACAAGTACTTCCATTATTAGCTATATATTATCAGAATACTAAAAGGCATATGCGCAAGAAAACTTGTGAAAAGAACACAAAATGGCGACTCACCCATATTTCTTTTGATAGTGGTCGAAGGAAACTGAATGTATCCGATAACTGCTTTGGCGTCCTTGTGTAAGTGATCGGTGTGTCTATTGAGAGAAACGGTTCGCTGAAGTCCACTAATCGCTCACGTTCAGGTGTAACGGCTAAAGGAGCGACGGCTATGTCTGCGTCCTAAAAAAAGATAATTACTTACTACCAAAACAGTAAACTAACTGAAACTGAAACAATAAATGGTCAAAAGACACTAAAATATTTTTTTCTATAGTCGAATATACAGCACTAAAAGATGAAATAACACATGTCATTTTACTAAATACGCTGTGTTTACGTTTCCCTCCATTGTACATAAAGTAACACCCGAGATAAGGGAAACTTACCCCCGCAAATATTTCATTAGACATTGAGACTAGCTATGAAATAACATAAAGCCCCCACAAGCGAGTCATATGGAGACAAAGAGCTTTAAGGACGAACCTTCTCTTGATATTAGATTTGCTGTCAAATATCTTAGTTAACCGAAGTCGTCTGGAACTACGAGAAAGGACAACAGAAAACTGTATAACCTATTTCAAAGTCAATATACCGGGCAGTTTTCAAAAGAACTAACTTTGTTATTATTTGATGTCTGAGAAACAAGCATAGAAAATTCACAGTAGGTACTTCTGAACTGCCATGGAACGAAATTATTTCTTGTTGTTGTTGTTATTTTAACTTGTTGTTAAAATATGATTTTGATGTACTATAAAAGTGGATGGACTGCCTCGTTGGCCGAGTGGTCGCAAGTGCGACTGCCGGGCTAGGGGTCTCGGGTTCGATTCCCGGGTCGGGCAAAGTATTACTGGGTTTTTAAAAAATTCTCAGTAGTAGCACGGAGTCTGGAATGGTGCCCGGTATATGGCAATAGGCTCACCCCCTATTACATGGGACTCATAACATAAATTGTGATAAGTGGGTGTTACATTGTACAGTGGCATAATGTGCACCTCTGCCTACCCCTTCGGGGATAAAAGGCGTGATGTTATGTTAAATGTTTATGTGTTATAAAAGTGGATGGATGAATAGTCGCAGCAGCCTTGAGTTCGGAGGTTAATTTGGCCATAAGTGTTGCTACCCAATATATCCCGTGAATAATAATCGGAAGCATAACATAATAGGTGTCCCCATTGTTGGCACAAACATTTATACCTGTACTGGTAATTCATCCTAGTGGTGTACGACATATCGCAAAATAGCAGTCCTGACAATTCATGTTATGGTTTAATTATAAATCAGTAGGAAAATCAGCAACATTTAAACGATCTAAGTATAGCCACCTATGTACTTCCAAACTGAACTAAAGTACACAATGCCTACATACTGGAAAATTATAAATACCTACTGGACAAGTGTCAATTAAATTAGCGGTATCTGAAAATAAGCCTATTAAACCTATCTAAAGTACATTTTGTAAAATTATTTCATAATAATAGAATCTAGTCAATGTAGTATTTTCAGTAGGTAGTTTATCGGAACTTTCTACGTACTCGATCTAAGTAGCGCCTACTACTGGCAACATATTCCATAAACAAATCGTTTATCTACCTTAGCCAAAGATATGACGGCGCGTTTCAAGAAAAGATAGGTATAGGTCTGGGCATGGCTATCCCAGACATGTAAACGATAACGTGAGAAGATATTTGTTTAAATAAAAATCTATAGTACTGTTTGTGAACTTTGATTATAGTAGCGCAAAATGTTGTCTACTAGCCGTAATTTATTGCGGAAAGTAAAAATTCACGAGTCCTCTGTGCCAAAATAGTGAATATGGATAAATATGCAACACTGGCCACGCTAATTTTTTTCTGCCACGGACGCCCATTTTCTCCGAACCGCGACAGTGACAGCAAAAATAAAGGAATACTAGTCGACTGCGGAATAATGTAACAATTTCTTTCCATGGGCTTTGCTTGAGAAATATTCATCCATACTTCACTGAGCTCAATATTGATCAAAAATTCCCGCTTCTGATGTCGAATGATGACGTCGCCGTCGCTTCATAGAAGCACGACTTCAATGTGTGTATGTTTGTATGTTTATCTTTTTTATTTACGGCCGTGGCATTGGTCATAACGTAATACATCCCTCTGTCAGTCGTAAAGTTTGCGACTTCCACGCATTATGATGTTGCTAGGGTGTATACATGTGTGTGTGTAATAATATTTCTATTAGCCAGGCCACCATCTCCTTTGTTTACCGCGGTAGTAAATATGATTTGGTATTAAAGTTCTCGTGCACGAGTGAATAACGGCAACATAAATAAATAAAGGAAGATTTTTAATGTATACCTCTATAGTATTAGATTATTTTTTAGGATTAGGATTATTCATAATATTAGTTTGGTTGTTATTATGAGATTACTTTAGTAAACCCTATTATCCGAGGGTGATTAACACATATTTCGAAAGTTAAAAGGATAATGAATTTCGGATTATGTTCAAGATATTTAATAATAGATTATACACAGGCTACTGAATGACGCTTAAGCGACCGAGTGAACTAAGTTGTTATGTAATGAAAACTGTCTCGGTTCGCCCTAAGTACACAATGTTAGCCACCTGTTTAACTTCTCAAGTTGCTCGTATAAGTTGTCCTCAGTTCATCTGGTTGTTTGAGGAGTTTTTGCCTATTAAATAGATATGAAACATTGTCGTTTAGTTTATTCTACAGCAATTAAATAATTGTAATCGTCGATTTTCTATAATAATCAATGTAGTTCACAATAAAAGTAAAAACTGATTATTTTTCAAAGTATTCGCTGTTGTGCACGATTCTGAACAAACCATCACATAACATCACGCCACGTCCGGAATTGTGGTATGTACCACAATTCCAGACTTAATGCTACTACTGAGAATTTATAAAAAAGCCCAGAAATACTTTGCCCAACCCGGGAATTGAACCAGAGACCCCTTGCCCGGCAGTCACACACCGGCGACCACTAGGTCACCGTGGCAGTCTGAACATTGATCAAATCATTCCCAATGTTACATTGATGATACGAAGGTATGTAGGTCCTTTATTATATCTTGTACTTCTACATGATACCTGGTCTTTATTAGTTGAAATGTGAAACTCAATACGTACCTTTCTCATAATCTCGCCAATTACGCCAGTGTAGACGTCTGGTACAGGCTCGTTAACGTATTTGCCATCTTTCAACAGCTTTATCTTGTCTGTAATGAGAAGTATATTTAGAAACAATGTTACTATAGGAACCATTTAAATTAAGCATTCGGTATTTTATTAAATATTTAATGAAACACACGTTTTTTTAAATAAATACTTTGAACATGCTTTTCTTTTAAAGGAAGATAAAGTCAATATGTGTTAATGCATTTATACGACGCAATCGTACAGTAAATAAACCATATGTAGTAGCAATTATTACTTAATATTTGCACAATATTCACGATTAAGCTTATTTAATATTTACCGCTGTAATACAGGGTCTTTATTGCTGAATGATATTAAAATGTTACGCTCCCGTGCTGTAATTTACAGAGGTATCATTGATTTTGTTTTTATTTTCTGATTGTCAGTGTGCTCTCATTTTCTTACAGTGTTCATTTAGAAATATGATTATGTAAGTAACCTTTTTCTATATTTTGATTACATTTTTCTTTTTTATATAATACTAGCTTTTACCCGCGGCTTCGCTCGCGTCACAAAAGGATAAAAAATATCCTATGTGACATATACCAATACATACAGCGCCATCTATCAATACTTTTGTTTTCCCTCGGGAATATCAAATTTTTCCGGGATAAATAGTACTCTATTATTAAGTTAGAACTTTACGTCTGCAAAAAATCAAAGCAATCGGTTTAGTAGTTACGACGTGAAAGCGGAACAAACAAACAAACTCACTTTCTGATTTATAATATTATAGTAAGGATAGTAAGGATATGGGCTACAGTTGCTTGAAATAAAGGAACAATAAACAATAAAAAAACCGAAGATCACAGACGATTACGAAATTTATTTATTGTTAGTTTTTCTCCATTCGAATCTAGATCTACATTTCGGAATGAGCACCTAGCTTCACTGATGGACAGAGAGACAGACTATTATTTAATTTGTTTTTGTTGACTGCCTCATTGGCCGAGTTGTCGCAACGCAAGTGCGACCGATTAGAAAATAGCGAGCTCATTCCATCATTCCATTTTCGACAGGCTGTCCCAGTGCAGTCTATTCGATAGGCTACACCGACTGCTGCCCAGATCTCATACGTGTGCTATACAATTGTTGAATGAAAAATAAGAATGCACATAATCATGAAAATTAAGATAAGATGATGTTTCACATTTATTTAATACCTACATTTCTCCTGATCTATTGAATTAGTTATGGTTGAATAGACGAAAAATCGACAACTAAAACCTGAATCTATTCTGATCACAGAAACATACAGATCAGATCAGATGGCTTTAAAATAATGAATATACACCCAGATAGCAGATCGAACTTTTATGTGAATATTACTTTCATGCCTGCTCTCTTAAAATAATATGTGAATAGAAGATTAAAATGTGCAAAATAGGGCATCCAGATCTCTGATCTGATCTGGATGCCCTGATGATCTGACCTGATCTGATCTGGTGTTTGTTTAAAAATTCTCAGTAGTAGCACGGAGTCTGGAATTGTGCCCAGTAGGTATATGGCGATAGGCTTATCCTCTATTACATGGGACTCATAACATTCTTCTTCTTCTTATAGTGCCACTGTAATCCTGAAGGTTGGCCGTCAACTTTTTGAATTGGTCCTTGTCATTGGCCAGACGGAAAAGTTTTTTTCGGCTCTCTTACTCTTCAGGCGTAGTTCCGACGCCAAGGAAGCCAGCTTTAGTCCATCCGATCTCTATAAAAAGTGATCGATCTAATCTGTCCAACTACAGAGAGAAAGCCATAAGTTCCCTCTTCTCAAAAATATTTGAGTCCATTATTAACTGCCAGCTCCTGCGTTACTTAGAAGATCATCAGCTGCTCAGTGACCAGCAATACGGCTTTCGTAAAGGTCGGTCTGCTGGTGATATTCTAGTTTACCTAACGCACCGCTGGGCACAGGATATCGAGTCTAAGCGGGAAGCGTTGGCAGTAAGTTTGGACGTGGCGAAGGCCTTCGATCGGGTTTGGCACAGAGCGCTTCTTTCGAAGCTTCCTTCCTACGGGCTTCCCGAGAAATTATGCAAATGGGTCTCCTGCTTCCTTGAAGACAGAATCATTAAGGTTGTTGTCGACGGTGAATGCTCTGACTTGCTGTCTGTAAACGCAGGCGTCCCTCAAGGCTGTCGCCTACATTGTTCCTTACGCATATCGATGACATGTTGCAAATCAGCGGCATTCATTGTTTGCGGATGACAGCACCATGGTTGGCAGGCCACAACTGTGCGCTTATCACGATGCTTTCTGCCTTGCACAGCAAAACGCTCGATTGATTGGCATCCTCGAAATCGAGGACGCTCGAAAACGATCGAGGTCGCTCGATAGATTTCGAGGACGCCCGATTGATTTCGAGGACGCTCGATAGATTTCGAGGACGCCCGATTGATTTCGAGGACGCTCGATTGATTTCGAGGACGCTCGAAAACGATCGAGGACGCTCGATAGATTTCTAGGACGCTCGACAACGATCGAGGACGCTTGATAGATTTCGAGGACGCTCGAAAACGATCGAGGACGCTCGATAGATTTTGAGGACGCTCGAAAACGATCGAGGACGCTCGATAGATTTCGAGGACGCCCGATTGATTTCGAGGACGCTCGATTGATTTCGAGGACGCTCGAAAACGATCGAGGACGCTCGATAGATTTCGAGGACGCCCGATTGATTTCGAGGACACTCGAAAACGTTCAAGGTCGCTCAATAGATTTCGAGGACGCCCGATTGATTTCGAGGACGCTCGATAGATTTCGAGGACGCTCGATAGATTTCAAGGACGCTCGATTGATTTCGAGGACGCTCGAAAACGATTGAGGACGCTCGAAAACGATCGAGGACGCTCGAAAACGATCGAGGACGCTCGATAGATTTCGAGGACGCTCGAAAACGATCGAAGACGCTCGATAGATTTCGAGGACGCTCGAAAACGATCTAAGACGCTCGATAGATTTCGAGGACGTTCGATTGATTTCGAGGACGCTCGAAAACGATCGAGGACGCTCGAAAACCATCGAGGACGCTTGATAGATTTCGAGGACGCCCGATTGATTTCGAGGACGCTCGAAAACGATCGAGGTCTCTCGATAGATTTCGAGGACGCCCGATTGATTTCGAGGACGCTCGAAAACAATCGAGGTCGCTCGATAGATTTCGGGGACGCCCGATTGATTTCGAGGACGCTCGATAGACTTCGAGGACGCTCGATAGATTTCGAGGACGCTCGAAATCGATCAAGGACGCTCGAAAACGATCGAGGACGCTTGAAAACTATCGAGGACGCTCGAAAACGATCGAGGACGCTCGATAGATTTCGAGGACGCCCGATTGATTTCGAGGACGCTCGAAAACGATCGAGGTCGCTCGAAAACAATCGAGGACGCTCGAAAACGATCGAGGACGCTCGATAGATTTCGAGGACGTTTGATTGATTTCGAGGACGCTCAAAAACGATCGAGGACGCTCGATAGATTTCGAGGACGCCCGATTGATTTCGAGGACGCTTGAAAACGATCGAGGACGCTCGATAGATTTCGAGGACGCCCGATTGATTTCGAGGACGCTCGAAAACAATCAAGGTCGCTCGATAGATTTCGAGGACGCCCGATTGATTTCGAGGACGCTCGAAAACAATCGAGGTCGCTCGATAGACTTCGAGGACGCTCGATAGATTTCGAGGAAGCTCGATAGATTTCGAGGACGCCCGATTGATTTCGAGGACGCTCGATAGACTTCGAAGACGCTCGAAAACGATCGAGGTCGCTCGATAGATTTCGAGGACGCCCGATTGATTTCGAGGACGCTCGAAAACAATCGAGGTCGCTCGATAGATTTCGAGGACGCCCGATTGATTTCGAGGACGCTCGATAGACTTTGAGGACGCTCGACAGATTTTGAGGACGCTCGAAAACAATCGAGGTCGCTCGATAGATTTCGAGGACAACCGATTGATTTCGAGGACGCTCGAAAACAATCGAGGTCGCTCGATAGATTTCGAGGACGCCCGATTGATTTCGAGGACGCTCGATAGATTTCGAAGACGCTCGATAGATTTCGAGGACGCTCGATTGTTTTCGAGGACGCTCGATTGATTTCGAGGACGCTCGAAAACGATCGAGGACGCTCGAAAACGATCGAGGTCGCTCGATAGATTTCGAGGACGCCCGATTGATTTCGAGGACGCTCGAAAACAATCGAGGTCGCTCGATATATTTCGAGGACGCCCGATTAATTTCGAGGACGCTCGATAGACTTCGAGAACGCTCGATAGATTTCGAGGACGCTCGATTGATTTCTAGGACGCTCGAAAACGATCGAGGACGCTCGATAGATTTCAAGGACGCCCGATTGATTTCGAGGACGCTCGAAAACGATCGAGGTCTCTCGATAGATTTCGAGGACGCTCGAAAACGATCGAGGACGCTCGATAGATTTCGAGGACAACCGATTGATTTCGAGGACGCTCGAAAGACTTCGAGGACGCTCGATAGATTTCGAGGACGCCCGATTAATTTCGAGGACGCTCGAAAACAATCGAGGTCGCTCGATAGATTTCGAGGACAACCGATTGATTTCGAGGACGCTCGATAGACTTCGAGGACGCTCGATAGATTTCGAGGACGCCCGATTGATTTCGAGGACGCTCGAAAACGATCGAGGTCGCTCGATAGATTTCGAGGACGCCCGATTGATTTCGAGGACGCTCGAAAACAATCGAGGTCGCTCGATAGATTTCGAGGACGCCCGATTGATTTCGAGGACGCTCGATAGACTTCGAGGACGCTCGATAGATTTCGAGGCTTGCATGGCATACAGCGCCATCTATACGAATACACACAGCGCCATCTATACTAATATTTTTATTTTCCCTCGGGAATATCACATTTTTCCGGGATAAAAAGTACCGTATTATTTAATCTGGACTTCTAACTTTACGTCTGCAAAATTTCAAAGCAATCGGCTTAGTAGTTACGGCGTGATAGTGGAACAAACAAACAAACTCACTTTCAGATTTATAATATTAGTAAGGATTTGCAAGTGGATACTTGCTTATCTTAGTTAGCTAGCTGCTGCGTTAAGTTGTCTCAACCAAAAAGCCTCATTAGCCTTAGGTTTCGTATAGTTTTCGTTATTTTTTATTCTTGGATGATGTTGACCTATTCGTCATCATCATCAACAGCCTATAACTGGCCACTAATGTCCAAACGCCTCTTTTCACACAGATAAAGAAGGTTTGAGCTTTAATCACCACGCTTGCTCAGTCAAGATTTGTAATTTCAAACTCATGATTAGATATTCTCATGCATGAGATTTTTTTTTAATTGAATAGAAAGCAACCTCACTTAATTATATGGTCATTAGAAGATGAAATTTACATATATATCTCAATTCGTACTTACATTTGATTCCTATTTTGGTTACAATTAGATCCATCAGGTCTTTACAGAATCCAATAAATTCTTCTTTTTGTCCGTATTCTGTTGATTTCTGTATGAGATATGGTTCTTCGAGAATAGACACCACTGAATATGTTTTGTTGGTGTCATAACTGGCAGGTGAACGAAGCTGTACGTATTTCGGAGATGCCACTTGCAGACCATGGGCATCGCTCCATGTAGCAACCTTAAGTTTAGGTACTAAGTTAAAATAAAAGAAGTGAAAGCGAAAGATATTGCTTAAATTTGTTTACAATGTTATTTAGAGGTAAAATAATTGTCTCAAACGTAAAATTTAGATTTTTTAAGACAGTAATTTTACTTAGGATATCGGCATAGTTTTGGATCAAATAGGCAAAATCAGTTAGTACATAGTATTAATTAAATTACATAATAAATATACTATTCAGGCACATTTTTTATAATCTAGAAAATGAATGTAATATATTTTAATTTAGAATGGAACAGTTGTCTACTGAATTCAGTGGTCCACATAAAAACTGGGGTCTGACCGAAAACAAATTTTGAAAGTTTCAAGTGGCAACTGAAAGAATGGCTCCAAAAGTTTGTACGCATTGATTTATGGACGGCGAGAAATCATTAGCAAGCTGTGGAACAGAAGTAGGGTGAAATAAAGTTAAAATTAACCTTTGCTGAAAGTACCTGCTAACGGATGTGCAAAGTTTATCCGAAATTTAATAAAGCTCATAAAATGGATCTACATTGTTCACCTCTGTATCGCGTGTTCGAATAATCAGAAATGAGTTTAAATAATAGATGAGGCAGCTGTAGTCGCTTGTTATATATACGCACCTTTAGCATTGCACTTTGTACGGTCATTTCGACAACATGTAGCGTAAAATTGTGTCGATGACCCTCCTCGTTGAATGATATGTTTCCAGTGAGACCTTCAATGTCCGTCTAGACAAAAACGTTATTGTTTTCTTTGTAATCTCTTAAATAAATAATATAAGTATGTCAATAAATATATTTTATGTATAACTGACCTTTTTGATCAATCTAGATATTTTGTCGCCTTGCTCAAATGGTACTACCCAACTTTTTCCAGGGTTGCAATCAATAACTTTAGTTGAATTTGCTAGTCCCGCAGCGCGTCTCCTGAAGGCCTCTGGCTTCTTTCTCCAGAGCCTCCCCAAAGCATCCATTACAACTTGGACACCATCATACATGAGCGCTGTCTCCGCCTGTCATAAATTATGCTCATTGTGATAACATTCTAATAATAGTGTCATATATGTATTTGGTTGTGAGTTTGAACAAAGTTATCTATTAATCATTCATTCATTTACTCATTCAATCACTTTGATTTAAGTAAATAAATGAATAACTGAGTACAAAAATTATTACATTCAGTAAATGACGCAGACGATTTACTTTACAGTGTAGATATATTATCTACAACATGTTAGACGCAAAACGAGCGAATAACTATGATGAGGTAACTTTACTTTAGAGCAATCCTCCTGAGCATACGTCGACGAGTCGAAAAGGCCTGAATGTATATAACAATACTTATACCTACACTAATATAGGAAGTTATATGAGGAGTATTAAGGACAAAAGGGACTGAATTCATCATATAATAAGCTAATGAAGGAAAATCATAAAAAGCTTGTAATTTCATACGTTATTTTTAATTAATATTGTACATTGCCGAGTTTTATAGTATGTATAGTCATTCCCTAATCTACTAATGGCCACTTAATCTCATATAGACAGATTTTGTTATAGCCGGTATATCTATCATATAGAGATACCGATTGAATTGAGAACCTTTCGTTTTTGGGAAGTCGGTTAAGATCTCTATCTAGTATTCACATTCACTGAAGACTCCCCTCATATGGAATAATATAATTTATGCAGGGGCACCCCACTCACTGTTTCATTAGGGTGTACCTAAGTTAGTGAAATATACATAAACGAGTTATTACTTCACACCACAGTTTTCTTCATGATGCGGCATTTATAGCCCGTTTTCTTTACGATATACATCAGGATATCGTTAAAATCTCCTTCATATTTTAAATTAAAGTTTTAATGACATGCGCATGCTCTTTTATCCTTTAATACTGGCCATGATAAGAGATGAGACGAACATACATATGGAATTTCAATAAGCTGACAATATGCTTCTATATTACATAGTAGCTGCAGTTAATTGATGCTCCACAATAATATGCATATTAATGTGGAGCATCAAGTTGTCCAGGGTTATTTTAAATACAAAAACCACCTGGCAAGCCTGTATTATTAATATAATAAACAATAAGCTCCTGCCCGCGAATACGTCCGTGTGAAATAGTGACTTAAGAAGAATTATTTTTTAATGTAATAATATCGCCCATGTTGCTCAGTAACGACGCTGCTTTCTGGTGAAATATTTTTTAAATCAGTCCAGTTATTTGTGTGTTAAAACGATACAAAAACAAAGGTTTCTCCTTTATAATATTAGTTTAGCTAACTTTTTAGGAAATTAATATTTACAGCATTTTACACAAGCACCAAACGTTATAAATTAGAGACCATTTATATCATACATGCATTTGTATGTATGTTATGTACAGACTATGAAATTACTTTTTTATTTATTCCTGTCTCTGAGATCTCTTTACAGATCTGTTCTTTGGTAATATTATGTTAGGTAACTTAGAAGCGATATCAATTGCTATTCATGATAAAGAAAATGTTTTACAAATAAACTTAACGAAAATCGTCAAATTTAAATTAGCCTTAGTAATATTTGATCTGAAACCGGCGATTAATTGGTAATGAATATCCACTTAAGTGAGCAGATCATCAACGCTTGTTGATCAAAGTTAGTAACAGCTACTATCTGTATGTATACTTGGTGTGAGGTAATGAAAGCACTTACCGATATGGTCCCCTTGAACCGAGGATCCATTCGCCGCAAACCGTCCATGAAATCGCGCACAATCTTACGCGAGTGGTCGACGATGCGAAACCCAGTTATATTGACTGCGCCGTATTCTGTTACTTCGTTCTCCCAATGATCGTCCATAACCTGTTAATGGGCCAATTTAAGTTCTTGTTTCAAGTAATTGTGCTGTTCCGCTGCGAATAATAAAACCCGACACAATCTTCTTTCTCTGAATACACGTCAATGAAATCATTAACATTTTGCAAACAAGCAATCGGGCGTTAAACGACTTTATTCATGGACATTTTGTTTCACACTGTAGGTAGGTATATTTTAATATGAAAATGAAATAATATGAACATTTTTGCTTTTAAATATTTACTTTACAAAGATGTTAACGAAACCAATTGAATACAATACTTTTAAATACCCTTCTCTTTCGTATGTTTAAAAGTATAAGTGTTTGAATACCCATTCATTTACGAAACTGACTTATATAAAAATATAAATGTAAAACTTACACCAGAGCGAGCAATACTCACCAGTCCGCTGAGCATGTAGTGATAAGTCCTGCGTCCCAATTGCACTTTACGAACATGTTCGACCAATATGTTTTTGGCGTTTTTCGCATTGCAATCTAGTACTATTCGCTTGTTTCCCCAACGGTCATATTGTTCCAAAGCCAACAAGAATTCCATGGCATCAGAAGCATTATTAATTCTCTTCACGAGTGCGATTCGGAACGCGGTTCGGCCCGGCTGCATAGTCTGGTATAGTTGCTGGAGTCTCAGTAATCCTGTTGGTAAATGATTTAACGAAATCTTAGGAGTATTGTTAACATCAATGATGCTATAAGTAAACTTATGACATGACCAATGGAATGTTATTTTATGACATGAATATTGCAAAGAATAATAAATATGGGTTAGTATCTCAAACACGATACCTATTAAAAAAACAGCCTTTTATTTTTAAAACAAAATACAGATAAGGTGCTATTTTAAGAACAGTAATAATCCCAACTTAAAATGATTTAATCTGGTACAAATCATTATAGTTTATTGATTGACTATTATGTTTATGATTTTTTTTTTATATTATAATTTCTTATGTAGTTATGACAAAGATAAAGATATTTTTATTTGCGTTAACATGAGTAATATTACAAGAGTACATGCAATGGTGTTAAGTTAGGAGTACGAGCTACATGTTATGCCGTTTTGGCGTACAAATATTTAAAATCATAATTTAATATTAAGGTAGGTAGTGAAAAAAATATAGACATGCAAACCTAAATAAGCAAAAAAGACAAAGAAGTCGATGTTAAAAGTTACTGGTAAAACTAAAGCAAAAAAGACATAGAAGACAATATTAACCGTTACAGGTACAACAAAATTATGTTAATTGTATTACAAATCTAATTCATCTTTTAATAAATCTTCTATATTATAATAACATTTCTTATGTAACAAATGACGTCAATGATGTCTTGATATAGTGAAAATAATATCACAGTTTTACTTATCCCTGATAATAAATGGCAAGTTGTATTGTTTCATAATGCATTCGTGCTTGTATAGGTCCGTACAGCGATTCAATGACATTGAAGCCACCTCCTATAAAACGTAGGCGAATGCTAACCTGGCAATTTGAAGGTCTGTGAGCAGTCATCTAGTTCGGTCCTACTGCTATCAGCTACTGTTAATAGTACGCATTTTACCACCTAGGGTCATCTAACACTGAGACGCGACGCGACACACACACGATTAAAGAAACGTCTTAAAAAAAGCAACTTTAAGTATTTTCTACACCAAAAGATACAATCGAGTGTTGTAGCGTACCCAAGATTCGCGGCTACATCGCTCGCAGCAGCAACCGGTGTCTAGGTGCGTCTACGAGAGACGTAGCGGTATGCAGTATGCTACGTCGGGAAACGTACCGGTATGCTACGTCGCGATGCATGGCTTGACGCCGCGCACCGCTCGGCATTGAGGTGCGTCGTCGTCTTTATTGAAATGTGTATATTTTCGTGTATAAAATAAAATTATTTTGTTTAAAATACAATTGCTGAACCAATCGATTTGCAAATGAAATATTTTTTCTTAATGTCTTCTTCCAATTATGGTCATGCTATTTATAAAGAAAACTTTTAACATTTTCAATTGGACAAGATATTCTCTATTAATGTTTAGGTTATAAAGACGAATCTGGGATATATCTATAATAACCTAAACTCCTTCGGTGGAATCGACGTCTAATTTGCCAATTTCACACTTCAATGATGTTACTGCGGATGTTTATGCATATTTTATATATGTGTAATATTTGAACTCGAAACACAAGATGTTAAAGAAATCTATTACTTTTCAAAACGGGTTTTCTTTCCTTAAAGCTTGAAAGACGATTTACACGTCCATCAAGCTTTTAGAAATATGGTGTCAACTCTGGCAGATCATAACATAATATTTTATTATTGTGAGAAATACACATATTTTATGGCACGCCATTTTGTCTTATAAAGTAAAATAGTTTAAGCGTCGTGGAAAATTTACCTTCAACTTTTTGATAACTTTTAAGACGTATTTTTATTCAATATAATTTATTAAATTGATGCCTATGGTAACTTGCTTATCAAAAAGTGTTTATGGCTACTTTTTTGTCACAGCATGAGTTGCTTCTCCACTGATACATTTCAACATTCAGAATATGTTTTCGTTGGTTTAAAAATCGATGTAGTTGGTTTATTGACTTACTTGTTAACATCTGCTTGCATGGTAGCAATTCAGAGAAATGCGTAGACTAGTATGTGTGTTTGTATGCCTATTCTATGTGCTAGTAAAATCTACGAGTTAAATGAAACTCGTTCGGTTGATGATGATGATAATAATAAAAGGATCGAAATTTCGTCCAAATCATGTGCAATGCCATTTGTCAGAGTCAACGGGAGACTTAGTTTTTAAATAACGGCTATTACATCTCGATGTGAAATGTTGAAAAAACACGTTTGCATATCACTGTGCAGGAGGCTACTAGCTTCAAAATTCTTAATGAAATGTACTTTTTTGTTATGTAGTTAATTTTTTTTATATATTTTATTATAGTATAATACACCAGAAATCAGGGATTTATATAGGGTGGGTATAGTGAAAAATTTTATTGGCAGTCCCTTTGCGGCGCAGGCGGCGCAAACTAGAAGTGTGGGAAACTAGAAATTCGGAAAGAGCACATCAAAATTTGTAAAATTGTCATCTTTCCAAGCTCTCGTACAACTTTCTAACCAAACCTACCAGATATGACTATGACTAAACTATACTGGGAAATGTTTAATGATATTTTAAACATACTTTTAATTTAGTTGAGGTTTAGGCTCTTTTCTTTTTTCTAGATGTACTATGAACATAAAAATTTTGGGGAGCACTGATTTATATTACCGTGATGATGTAATCCCTTCCCTTCATCACACAGTACATATATATACATTATTGTAAGTGTGCCTTTCTGAACGCCACTCACACAGGAAAAGTTTTTATTTTTTGCCTCTTCAGAGCACGCTTTGTCCCTTTTTCGTACCGCTTGTTTTATATGGGGCGTTTAATTCGATAAAATTCGTGTGGACTCGAATTGGTTTAGGAGAGCTGGAAAATAGACTGGGATATAAATGCCCCTGCCGATGTCGCAGAGAGTATAATTATTTTTCCTTTCTTTTTATAGAAACTTTCAGTTTGGTTTCCAATTTATAGAAGCTTTGCCTACAGTTTGAAATCGAAATCTATATAAATGACAAAGAAATCGCTTAGTGTCTTAGGAATTAGTGTCTAGTAGGACAAGAAGATGGAACTTGATACTTTGAATCTTGCATCAAGTACTACTGAAGCAGAGAGTTTGGTCTATTCATCTGAGTGCTTTTAATTATCTCAAAGATTAAGTCAGAATTATATGTCCTACGCAATTTTTTTTTTACACAGGGTAAAAGATAACCTCTAGCTTGTAAGTCGTCAATGTGTCGAATTTATGCATTTTATTGAAAGAACAACAACTGTACGCGTGTTTTAATAATATTTCTGCCATTGTTGTATACATTTACGAGCATTTTAAAGTAAACTCCCAACCCTACAAGACTTTCTAAGCATAGCATACCACGAATTGATTTGGTTTGCTGCAGGCACCTATCATTTAAAAATGGCACGCACACAATGCTCCGATTGTCACGGACGAGTCATGAAATCTGTTTGCTTTACATATAAAAATGAGATACAATAAATATTATGCCATACACCAAAATATAAAACATCAAGCTATGATTAACGAGTATAAACTGAATATTAAATATGGAGAAAGATTATTACTTGATGGTAGTCTAATCGGAAACAAAAATTGAATTTATGGTATTCTTTGTATATAGTTATACTTGGCCACATATAAATTATTTTAACCGATTCTAAGTTTCGATTCATACATTTTAGTGCATATACTTTAGTATAAACATACCTTCATACATCCTAAATGAACTGTATTTTTTAATTGAAAGAATTTATGTTTGTAGAAATGTCACATAAAATTAGTTTTTGAACTCGCTAAACTATGTATAACGTGTGAAGCGATATCCAAAACAATTTCGCTGTTAAGAGATAAATGTGCGGGCAGAGATGTGGTGAAAGTTTTGTCCGCACCCGGACTATTCTCACCATGTGTCGCGTTTGAACTCGTGACCCTTGAGGTTTTCCACTGTCGTCGGTCGGCTAATGGCTTATAACGTCAGCTGCTTGAATCGCCGTGCGCCCCGAAATCTATTATAAACTTGTCGATCGCGATATGAGTCAAGCAGGTCCGACTATTTTTTTTTTTAATATCTAAACTTAAACAAATTAAACAAATCTACACCCTTTTATGAACACTGCCACGCCAGTCATCGCTATTTATTATTCTCCGAGTAAGTTTTGACGTATCTGATTGATTACAACTGCTCTTTTCTTAGTCCGAAGTTCAGGCAATAATTGCAGTTAGAAATGGTCGAATTAAAACTTCTCGATTGTCACCCGACAACGGTCTTGTGGCTTTGTTAACCTTTGCGAGGATTGTTACAAAACTCTCCGAGTTCTCGAACGCGGCGATTATGAGCAATGTTAATAGTTAGTCGGAGTTCTTAACTTCGAGAGAGACTTTCAACTTCACCATTTCAGTATTTTAAAATAGAGGTATTTCGCTTCGTTTCGTTTTAACTTCCTGCTACCAACAATCATATTATAGTAAATAGAATTATGTTGAGTATAGGGCGTAAAATTTTACATAATTATTACTTTTGAAAGATAGAGTACCTAAACTAAAACAATAATTAATAATTATCAAAATAAAAACCCACATCTTATAAATATAAAGACTCCATTTTGGCTTCACATCCGTGGTTTTCGTTATGATCGTATTGCGTCACCAATTTTATTTGATAGGATCTTTTTGTTCTATTTCAACCCTATATTCCAATATACGCAATATATATAGGTTACAAATTGGATTAGGAAGACGGTTGGTGTTTCACCGGAATTGATTTTACGAGAAACATTTTGTCTTGACGAAACTAAAACCTTTAACTACACTACTCTGCAAATCTCGAGTGAATAGGTTGCTTATAGGTAGGCCTAGGCGTACTCTATCGTAGCCTACCTACACCATCGCTTACCATCAAACGAGATAGTGACCGAACGCGTGTTGGTGTTTTTTATAGGTAATTAGTACGCCTACTAATTACCTATAAAAACACCAACAAGTACATTTTTGACTATAACACCATGTTTTGGGATA